TGGCAGAGTGGGTGAATAGATCCCATCAGCCCCGAGGGTGGGCACTGGCATCCCCTTCCCTGCTCGCTGTCCTGCCGTGTCCACATCCCAGCAATTCTCCGCGGCACTGGGAGCACAGCCAGCACCACTGCTCTGCTGCAGGGTGGCACAGGAGGGGCTGGGGCAGGGATACCCTCTCCTTCCCCAGGGGGACAGGGCTGGGGAGAGCATCAGGATGCTCTCAGCCCCACGGGAGATGCCTGAGCTGATCCCCCAACGTTTTATTAGGAATGTTCTTGGAAGGAGCCCAGCTAATCCCCATGGCAAGCTGACATTTGTAGTAAATCTCTGCTTTCTGTCAAACACAATTTCCTCAGTGACATTTATGTCTGATGACTTCAAACCGCTTGGCCTCCAGTTCTGCTCAGCCCAAGCACCCACAGAGCTGGGAGAGGTGTGCTGGGAGCTCCAGCTTGGGATTTATGGGAAGCTTTAAAATCTTTATGACTCTAAGCCTCTACTTGAAACACGTCCTCCTCTTGAAAACCCAAAATAGCATCAAAGGAGGCTCCCTCTGCAGTGACAGCATTACTGTGCCAAGGGCTCCCAGCCTGGCACTGGATCCCATTCCCCTCTAACCCCAGCACGTACAGCCTGTGCCTGGGCTCGCTGGGCAGCTCTGCTCTGCTCCCTTGGTGACTGCATTTCACATTCAGCCCAAAGATTGAGCTGTTTCCAGCTCGTGGATGCCCCCAGGCTCTCCTAACCCCGAATGACCCAGCTGCGATGTTCTGTGTGCCACCCCGAGCAGCACGTGGCCTCGTGCTGCTGTGGCACCATTCCCTGCGGCGAATTCCAAAGCCATCGGAGGAGCAATTAGCTGCTGCAATGGGTGGTGTAACGGCGCTTTGAACTCAGGGAGCAGCACTCAGTCCTGCCGGGGATGCCAAGCGCATCACAGGGGATTAGGGAAGCTCCAGGGGAAAACAGGGTCATGGTGTGACTCTTTACTATGGGGGGGGTGAGGCACTGGCAGAAGTTGCATGTGGCTGCTCCCTCCCTGGAAGTGTTCCAGGCCAGATTGGATGGGGCTTGGAGCAACCTGGGCTAGTGAAAGATATCCCTGGGCAGGGCAGGGGTGGAATGAGATGAGCTCTAAAGTCTCTTCCAGCCCAAACCATTCCATGATTCCATGATGGGAGCAGAGATACTGCAGTGAAGGGGGCTGAACACTATTGGGGCAGAGGCACCCAAGCCCTGGTCTACTCACAGCTGGATGTCCAGGAATAGCCTCTTCTCCTCTCCCACGTGGATCCTCCAGATGCAATCCTCTCCCTCCGCATAGGGCTCTGGCCAGTTGGGGGACAGGATCACCCCAGCCATGGCAGTCAGCTCACCCCCACATGTGGCTGTGGGAGCAAGAGGTGGTCAGGGCTCAGTGGGGCCCCAGAGACATTCAGCCCCAGCTCCCAGCATCGTCCACAGCACAGGACTGACCTCGGCACAGCGGCTCTGTGTCATTCCAGTACGGATCCCGCATGTTGACGCACTCGATGACAGCAGGGCCCTGCTCCAGGGAGTGCCCTGGGTCACAGGTGAACTCCACGGTGGTGCCCAGGTTGTAGGTGGGGTCAGAGGTGGTGAAGTTCCCGTTCTGGATGTAGGGCTCATAGCAGTGGCCCCGCTCAAAGGCTGCAAGAGAAGCCTCATGTTAGCCATAAAGGCACAGAGCTTCTCCCTGCTTTGGGGGTTCACTGGGTGAGCCCTGGGCTCTGCCACTGTCCCCAGCCAGAAAGGATCTCTGCATCCCTGCCATGTGCCTTCTTCCACAGTGTATCTTACAGGCAATTAGGATTAACAACAAAATCTGTCCTGAGCCATGCAGGCTTAACCAAACTCCATTCCCATGGTGTATCAGGATCAGGGATGTGCTGGCAGCTCTGCTGTTTGCTGAGCCATTCACCCTGGGATTACTGTGCCTAACTGAGCCTGCCCCGGGGCACAGGGCTCCCATGGGAATGATCCTACAGTGGGATCCTCTGAAATGACAACTGGAACAAAGCTGTGTGAGCTGCAGGGCTGCTCCTGTGCCCTGTCCCCAAAGGAGCTGGATCCAGAGGGCAGCAGCCTGGTGAGCAGGAGCCAGGACAGTCCTGTCCCTACCACTGGCATGTGCTCAGTGCCCAGTGGTGCCACACTATGGTGACTGAGAAAAGGGGACACACTGGGCCATTGGTGGTGAGAATCACCACAGGCTGTGTGACTCCCATGACACCAAAGGCCTTTCCAGCCTGGATTTGGAGGGAACTCATCCTGAACACAGCACCTACTGCATAGGAGATGTGTCCCATGGACACTTAGCTCACCAACAAACCTTCCTGCTGGAAGAAATGCCATTTTAATATTTCTTCCCCTATTTCTTCCTAGACAAATGTCTTCCCTAAAGCTTCTCCAGCTCCTGTGAGGTTCAGGTCACAACTGTGTGCCCACAATGCCATGGGGACAGTGGCACAGCAGTGTCTGCTGGACACAGATGGGTCTGTCAGTGAGACCCTTCGTACAGCCACGTGTCTCTAACTGCCCAAACTCCCTGGGGCTGGATGTGCTGACCGGGGCCAGGTGTGCTGGCTGGGGCAGGGCACTGCCCTCGGGGTACCACGATGAGGACAGTCACCTTCGAAGCGTATGTTGAAAGCTGTGGCAGCTGCAGGCTCCTCGGCGAGGAACTCGATGCGGATGGAGGAGCCGTCGCTGATCACCCCCTCGAAGGGCACACTGTCTGCTCGCAGCGAGTCGTAGAGGACAGCAGACTGGTTGGTGTCCCCACTGTACACCACCATCCTGCATGGGAGGACACAGCATGTTACATGGGGCAGGAGTTCCTGTGTCCCACCCAGACCCAGGAGGTGTGAGCTGGCAGAGGTGGGACCTGCTGGGAGCTCCCAAGTTTTGGCATATGTTGGGCCCCTCACTCCAAGAAAGCCACTGAGGTGCTGGAGCTCACTGCAGACCTTAGCACTGCCAGCAGCCTGTGGGTGGCTCCCAGAGCCCTACCTGTCCTTCTCAGTCAGCAGGAGCTTCTCGAAGTGCAGGTGCAGCTTCTGTCCCAGGGGTGCTCCGATGGCCCACACGCAGTACATGCTGCTGGACTGGTTCCCAGTGTAGCTGGGTGACAGCACACGGCCAATGGTGGCATTGTGGACTGTCCCACCACAGGGAGCTGCAACACAGAGCACAGACCCTCTGAAACAGGCAGGGGGAGAGGGCAAGGCAGAAAGGACAGGAAGGTTTGTATCCTCACAGCCCAGGGGTGAGCTGCTCTGCTGGCACCAGCAGTCCTTAATGCACAAACCTCTTGCCTGGCTCAGCTTTGCTCTATCTATACATATTTATACTCACAAATACACATATATTATACACATCTATGCTCATAAATACACATAAAATCTTATCTATAAATTCCTTTCCCTTTCCTGCTTAATGAGGAGATTCTGCTCCACCACCTAAACACTCGTGGTACCTCAGGCTGCAGAGCTGGGCATTGCTCTCACCCTCTCCCTCATTCAACTCAGGGCACAAAGGAAGGGACTAATACTTTCCTTTGGGGATCCCAGTTTTCCTCAGCACTGAGGACTAGGTGTGTACCTGAGCAGATGGGCTCGGGGCTGCTCCAGTGTGGTCGTGAGGCATTGATGCAGGTGAGCACCCGTGGACCCTGCAGCTCATAGCCCAGGTGACAGTGGAAGTGAGCGATGCCACCCGAGTGCAAATCCATCACAGTGACATCTCCAAAGTCAGGTCTCCGTGGGAAGTTGCAGCTCAGCATGAACACTGGAACAAGCACACACATTTGGAGCTCAGGGCTCGTCTGCTCCCAGCCACCCCCCAGGCAAGGGGAGCGTGGGGACGTGTTGGATGTGCCACGTGTCATGGACAGACCTGGCTGCCAGGTGCCAGAGGCACAGCCAACCCCCCCGTGCTGCTCTTCCCCACCTGTTACTGCTCCTGCCCAGACCCAGTTTCTATTTTAAAAATAATTTGCTTCAACTCATCTATTTTTTATAGCTCTTTGAGGTAAAAAATAGACTTGCAGTGAGTCTGTGCAGGAAGAGCTGCTGCACAGGGACAGAAACAGGGCAAGGTGGGTGTGAGAGGCACATCTAGTGCCAGGGCTGGGGACATCAGGACACATTGAACCTTCTGCTCTGGGAATAACACCCTGACCTGCCCCAGCTGATGCTCTGGGCATGTGGTGAAACAGGAGCTCATCTGGTCTGCGAGGGCAGAGCTCACCATCCTCCCACTCTACAGCCTGGTGGGACTCACCCCTCATCCCATTCCTACCCACATCAGGGAGGCACCTACCCTGGTAGTGCAGCTGGAAGGTGCCAACCACCTCGTCCTGGAAGGTGCGGAAGTAGACGGAGATGGTGTTGGTGGGACTGCGGATCACCTGCCCCTCCACCAGCAGGGTCTGGTTGGCCAAGACCACCAGGGCATCACCATCCACCCCACGGATGGAGAGCACCTCCCCATCTGACAGGTTCACACTCTTCACCTGGGGGAGCAGAGACCTGTGAGCTGTGGGGGTGAAGGAGGATCCTTGGGGGTTCCAAGGAAGCAGCCTTGGACACATAGTGCCCACAGAGCATCACACCAGCTCAGCCCTCCCTCTGCTCCACTCGGAGCATTGAGTCCTGCTGCAGTCAGGAGCTGCTTGTTCTGTGGTGATGGAGCAGCCTCTGCCCTGCTGGAGCCCAAGGGATCCCCATGACTGCTGATCCCTCCTCCCTCCCTGGGTCAGCAAGCACAGGCAGTGAGAGGTGCTCCCTTGGGTGCATTTCCAAGCTGGATGCTCCTGAGCAGCATGAGTTGACCAACACATTCTCCCTGCTGAAGCCAGAGATTTGGGGAGAAGCATGAGGGTTAGACAGGAGGAAATTGGAGTGGTACCATGGGCATGGCCCCAACTCCACCTGCATCAGCCCTGGGAGCAGATCTGGATCTCAAGGCTCTGGAACATGGCCATAGCTCACCAGACCCATCTGGGGCTGGGCTGCAACCAAACCAGGGTACTCTGTAGGGCTCAGAGCTCACCACCCACCCCATGCACCAGGAATCCTGCCCAGGATCCCTCACCTCACCGGGTGGGGTGATGCACAACAAGTGCATCTAATGAATAGTCCCAAAAGGCTTTAATTATTATTTGGAAATAGCTGAGCAGTAACCTCACATTTACATTTCACGTCCATTTAGCTTAATAAATGGGCTCATACTTCAGCAGAAAGATGCTCATCAGATCGTTTGTTTCCCTAAGTGTGCGAGGCCCAGGGCTCTATATTTAGCAGCAGCCTGTGATTGCGAGTGCTCCCGATGATGTTGTGACTGGAGGGATTTGTGGCTGCTCTCACTGCTGTGCCCACCTCCCCCTGGAACACAAGGCAGGGATGTGCCCAGCTCCACACACCCCTGGCACTGCATGGAGCCACCCACAACCCTCAGCATCCTCTGCCCTTCTGCTGGGAGAGGAGAGATTTCCTCAGGAGAATCCACCCCCAACCCTACTGAGTAACTCCCTGCCTGTCCCAGAGGTCCATAATCCCTGGAAAAGCTTGGTCCTTGCTGCAGGGCTGGGCTGAACATGCCCATGCTGGGTCAGAGCATGCCTGGGTTCACCCCAGCCCATAGTTTAACCCAGGAGGAGCAGATTTTGCCTTATTTTGCAGCAGGGTCCTGGGTCCTGGCAGGGAAGAACATCAAGAAACACAAGCCACGAGTGTGTCCTGGCCCCTGAGCTGCCCTGGGTCATTTCTCCAGGTTTTATCCCAAAAATGTGCCTCCCCAGCACACCTCATGGCTGGGGTAATGGCTCAGATCTAATCATTAATAAATGGAATGTTATTTGGGATGCATTCTTTTGAGCATGGGATCTAGGAATGCTAAGTGGGCTCTGTACAACACTAACAACTTCTCCCCAGGTCCCATCAGGATGGAGCTTTTCTTCCCCAGCTGGGTCTGAATCCCTGCAAAGATGTTTCCAGAGTGTTTCTAACACATTTTGTTCTGAAATCCCTCAAAGCCAGACCTGCTTCCCAGCTGGCTCCCTCCTGTGCTTGTGGCATCATGCATGCTATACAGAGCCAAATCATTCCAGAAAATTGGGAAGGGAAGTGTTCAGGAGCACCACTGGAGCAGCTCTGCCTTGGGAAGGGGATTCAGGGGAGCAGCTCGAGCAGGCAGAGCTCTGAGGGAGGGAGGGTGCTGAGGAGTGCTGCAGGGTGCCATGGTGGAGTGCACATCACTTGGCTCTGCCACCAGCCTCCCCTCCAGGAAACCAGGCTCAAAGGAGCCTGGAGCAGGGTGGCACTGTGAGGGACTCACATTCCCTGTACCAGCACCAGGATGACATCCCCAGAGGAGCCTGGAGTAACCAGTGAGTGCAGACCATGCAGTGGCCTTGCGCCAGGGACCGTCAGGCTCTGTGAGAGGGACCATATGTGTGAGCTCCTGTCAGGGGCTGGGAGGACACATTCTGACTCTAATCACAGCCTGCACCGATGTCAGCTCCTCCAGAGCCTGTTGGGAAGGCAGGAGGGATCCTCGAGTCAAGCTGCCAGCCTCGCTCACCCACTAGAAAACCTCTTTAGGGGAATTCTATTTCCTGCCAAGAAGATTCAAGAATTTTAAAAAGAAATATAATTTAAGGAAGCATTTGCAGAGCTGCCTTATCCCAGCTGCCAGGGCTGCTCCCAGCTGCCAGGGCTGCCATGGCACAGGCAGGGGCAGAGCTCTCTCCAGAATGTTGTGAGGAGTGTGGAGATGCTGCTGGCAGTGAGCTGAGCAGGGACCCCAAGCTCTCACAGAATCCTGGGGAAAACCTTCCTCACGCTCTCCAGGACATCCCTCCATGTCCAGCCTCCAAGCAGGACCTGCTGACACCCTGCACCACTCGTGACAGGAGGTGCACCAGCCTGGGCTCCACACAGAGCCTGTCCATCCCAGCTCCCCAGGACACCCCACCACAGAGCAACAGAGCACCTACTCTGCTCCCAGCCAGCCGGGCTTCTCCCAAACCAGCTTCCCTGGGCAGTTCTTGTCTCCAGAGCTCCCAGCTCAGCCTGGCTTCTCCCAAACCAGCATCCTCGAGCAGCTCTGGACTCCAGAGCTCCCAGCCCAGCCCACCCACATGAAGAAAGGAACTCCCCATGGGTCATTCCTGCATCACACCATTCTGACAGGAGAGCTCAGCCTCCCCCTCCTCACCCAGCAAGGACTCCATGCCCATCCCCACTACAGGAGCTGTGAATTAAACCCAAACCCTGCAATGGGACCGATTTACCCACACCACGGGAGGCAGCTGGGGAAGCTGCTCTGCTTTATCCAGCACCTGCCTGTTGGAATTCACCTCGGAGCCCCTGGAGCTCCCAGCACTGTGGCTCGGGGCACTGACCAGCTGCAGATGAGGCCACACTGCCAGCACAGACCTGCTGTTGTGATTTCATTTGTCTGAAATGCTCAGAAGCATCAGCAAAGTGAAATGCAAAGCTTGGGGGGGGTGGAGAGGCTAATTTTATGCTCCATTAAAATCTCAGCTCACAATGGAGCGAGGTCAGGAGTGGTGTCACCTGATGGATTATGAACAGAGGCGAATTTACAGCAGAGCAGCCTGTCTCCAGCACCCTGCAGATCTGGGGAGACAGTTACTGCCATGGAAAAGTGTCTGAGGTGCTCAGACACCCCAGTGCTCACCCTGCACTGCTTCTTCTCCCAGGGCAACCTCCCCACCAGGACTGGCAGCCACTGCAGCATCGTGCCCAGGGGTCACCCCAGTGTGTGCCCACAGAAGGGACAGCAGGGACAACCCCACTGGAACTCCTGCTTCTTTTAATGCACATTCTTAATTACACAGATTAAAAGTTAATGGAGTTTAATTGGATGCAAATGGCAACATTGGGGAAAAGGCAAGAAGAAGGATTGAACACCAGAGCATGGAGACTGTGGGCTGGTTTGACCTGGAGACCATGTGGAATGTGTGGAGACCCCTGTCCTCACCAGGCTGAGGACTGCAGGTTTTTGGGAGAGCCTGGGGAGACCTCCTGCTCTGATGGGTGGGCACAGGGATGAGCACCTGCACTGGCTGGAGAGAGGACCTGGGCTGCCCACCCTGATTCCTCAGGGTTTCCTGCACCCCCCAGACAAGTCAGGGGGTGCAGAGGGCAGGGAGCTGATGGTCCCTTTCCATCAAACCCAAGTGCCTTTTTAGCAAAGTGCTGCCAGTGCCTAGTTGTTAAATTAATTGCGTGACATTTAAAGGGTTTCTCATCGCTGACATTCAGGATGTACCAGCTCCCTCATACAGTTTATTAAAGGGACTAAGAAAAATCTATTTTTTGCCCCGGGAAGGGTTATTTTAGCAAGTGCAGGTGCCTGGGGCAGTGATGCCTAAGGCTGTGGGTGCTTTGCATCACTTGCTGCTGTGGAACAGGGAAGCTGAGGATAACCCCACTGATGAGCTTCTCACCTGGAGCTCGACGCCGTAGCCTGTGTAGACGGTGACGTTGTAGGTGCACTGCAGGTACCCGTGGAGGGGCAGAGGGGGATAGTCAGTGGAGTCGATGTAGCCCTCAGGGTCGTGGAAGCTCATGCTGCAGAGGACTGCAGGGAATACATGTCTTAGGGAATGGCTCACCCAGCAGCTCCCTCCTGCACCCAGGTCTCTGCTCCAGGGGCTGACCCCACTGAATCATAGAATCCCACACTGGTTTGGCTTGGAAGGACCTTAAAGATCATCTCATCCACTCCCTGCCATGGGCAGGGACAACTTCCACTAGCCCAGGTTGCTCCAAGCCTCATCCAACCTGACCTGGAACACTTCCAGGGATGGAGCAGCCACAGCTTCTCTGGACAACCTGTGCTGGTGTCTCAGCACCCTCAGAGGGAAGAATTTCTTCCCAATATCCCATCTAACCTGCTCTCTGTCATTGCCCCTTGTCCTGTCACTCCAGGCCCTTGTGCAAAGTCCCTCTCCAGCATTCTTGGAGCCTCTTTAGATATTGGAAGGGGCTCTAAGATCTCTCCAGAGTCTTCTCTTCTTCAGGCTGAACACCCCCAGCTCTCCCAGCCTTTCCCCATGATGATCCTTGCAGCATCAAGTGCATGAAGCACAGTAGATTTTAGGCATCCCCAAAACCCTAGGTGGGTGCCTGGTTTTGGGGGGTGCCTAAACACAGACCTGCTCCCCATCAGCAGCTGCTGTAGCTCTGTGCCTGTGCTCTGGCAGCTCAGCTTACCTGGGGTGGGCTCCGTGGTCGTGACAGTGGTGGTGATGATGGTGGACGTGGTGGTTTCTTGGCTCTCTTCCCAGGCAGAGCCATGCAGCTCTCTCTCCGCGCTGTTCGTTGGGATTACGGCAGCGCCGGCAGGAGCCGCGGTGGGAGCCTCACCAGCATCACCTGTGCTGTCAGGGAAGGGTTGATGGAGTGCTGGTGGCAGGGTGGAGGGGGAGATCTGCAGCGTGGGGCGGCTGGTGGTGGCCTGGTCCCCCCAGGGCAGCTCAGGGGGACTCTGCTCCGTGTCCTCTGCTGGCCCACGCGGCTCTTGGGCAGCAGTTGGGAGTCTGGAGCCCCTGGGGCTGGCTGGGGAGGCAGTCCCAGGGGGTCCTGCCAGGGTGGGCTTCAGCCTCGGGTGCTTCCTTCCTGTATTTCCTTGCTTTAGAGTCGGTGGCTTTTTCTTAACAGGGAAAGTTTGTTTTGCATCAGGTCTGGGGGCAGCAGGGGCTGTTGGTAGGACGTGGCTCTGCAGCAGCAGCGTTGTCTCCTCCGCTGCCGACTCTGTGCCATCCTCCGTGGCTGGCAGCAGGTTGAGGGCAGGGGCATGTCCCAGCTCTCCAGGGGCTTCACCATCTGAGCCTGTGGCAGGCCCAAAATCCTCAGCTCCACCGGCCAAACCCCTGCCATGCCCAAAATCCTCAGCTCTGCTGACCTTCTTGTCTGCCAGCTCATCTGCAGCGAGAGGGTCTGGGCTGGAAGGGACCAGTGCCACCCCTGATCCAGTGTCTGCAAAAAAACAGGGAAAAGTGGGACTTGGGAAAGCCTGGTGGCATGAAATCAGCTCCCTAGGAAGCTGTTGGGTAAACCCAACCCAAACTTTGTGTTTGGCAAACCCAACTCAACCTTTGTGTTGGGCAAAGGGATGCGCAGGACAAAGCTTCCTGGCACTGCTCCGGCTGGGATGGGTAAATGCATACATACAGATTTATCCACCACCAGTGGGTGACCAGGCTGTGGTCCACGGGGTGAAATACACTATGAACTCTGCTAGATGCTGCAGAAAGCTCTGAGAGCCAGAGAGTCAACATTTTCCATGGAAACAACAGTTGCCAGGGAAGCACTTAATGCTCAGTACTTAAGGACCATAATTCCAGCCCCCTCAGCTCCCTCAGGAAGGTTTGGAGACCCCAAGACACAGAGTCTGCCCTCAGTGTGTGCCTGCTGCTGGCCTGGGGCTGCCTGGGGATGTGCTCCCCTTTGTGGCTGCACAGGAAGGCACCAACAAGCTCCCAAAAATGGTTTGAGCTGCTGTGATGTGCCCACGGGGGCAGCCAGGATTTGTGTCTCCCATGGTCACCCTGAGCACATCATTACAGTTGGCATTACAGCTGCTTTAAACAGAAGCACAGTGCTTGAGTTAGATTTAATTTGATCTTTTTTTTTGTGTTTCAAATTCTACTCATTAAGGTAGGACTGGAATGAAAATATTAAAAGGAGCTTCTGGATGTGACTCCTGAAACACAGGATGCTGCTGGGTGACACTGCCTGCAGGGCTGGAGGGATGGCATAAGCAGACTGAACAGAGAGAGCCAACAGCCACTGAAAGACAACTTCACTCCATCTTCTGGAAAATCAAAGCAGGTTCTGGCAAGAACCAAAGATAAGGAACACAACAGGGAAAGGCAAAGGCTGGGCAAGTTAGCCTTTGCCAGAACTCCATGGCAGACCCTTCACTGCTCCTGCTCCTCAGTCCTGGAGAGCCCTTGGACATGCTGCTGGTACCTGAGCTGGTCCTTCACCCCTGGGACAGCCAGGGATGGAGCTGTGACATCTCCAGCTGCCAGCTGGCCAAGCCACTAATCCAACCACCAGCAAGCCAGTCCCAGCTCTCAAGGGCTTCCTGGCCTCTCCCACTGTTTCCCACAAGTTAAAACATTAATTCTTTAATTAGCAAGTGGTTCAGCAAATCCATTAGCTGATTCCCTTAGCACATTAGGAGACACTTAACACACATTGTCTGCAACCACTGATTTATGTTGGCTCTGAATAATCTCCCCCAGCTCTCCCTGGTGCTGGGGGTGCAGACCAGGAGCTTCCACACCCTCTGCTAGTTTCTGGGTGTCTCTGCTGCCCTCTCCATCCCAGTCCAGGCTGATCCTGACCTCCATTGGCATCCTGCCATGGGGTGATGGGGCGAATCAGTCCCTAAGGCAGTGCAAGTGTCAATTCTCCTTCCCTGGCAAGTTTCACAGGGCTCTCATGGGCTTTAGGCTTCCTCTCCCAGCCCAAGCCCAGGATGGGCAATTGGTGGTTGCTGTACCATGGCTCAGCTCATCAGCTTTAGTGTTCTGCAGCATGGAAGAAGATGTGGCTGTCATACAGGGAGGACGTGGCACAGCCCTGGGAGGTGAGGGGTGGGACATCAGCTCACAGAGCCAGGGACAGTCAGGATATTCCATGGGATCCCAAGTCCTTAAAGCCACTGTGTTCCCAGAAACATCAAACCACCACCCCCAGGTTATTTGTCATGTGAACCCAAATTCTTAATGCATTTTGCCATTAAACCATATTTTATGCTTTCAGAAAGTTGACTAATTCCGTATTAGATCCTTTGCCAGGATGCATTTACCCGATTCTGTCCTTAACAAAGCATGAAATAAAACCCTGTACAGTGACTCTTTAATGAGACACTGAACATGCTTCAGTTTGTAAAGGGCAAATGTGCATTTCAGGGAAGTGGAGAAGGAGGAATGCAGCCAGGCTGGAGGAGGGAGGGGGAGGCATAGGGACCCTGACATCAGGGATTAATAAGGGCTTATTCCACACTACCAGAAAGAAGTGATTAATGATCTCAGCTCCAGATTACATCACCACCCCCAAAATTGGAGCTGTGCTCCAACATCCCCCCAGGCTGCCAGACCCTGATCCCTCCCCACATCCCTCGGTGCTGCCCCACAGCCCCAGCACTGCCCACTCACTCCTGCCTGTCTCAGGAACCAGAACTAAGTATCCCCATCCTTAAGGAGGGATTGCAGTAGGTTTCCATACTTGATATTGATCAGAGTGGGCTTTGGTAAGATGCCTTTCCAGACCAGTCTGAATGCAAATAGCTGCTCTCCCTCCTCCAAAGCCCACAGGGTGATCATGGGGAGAAGATGAGGTCTGGAATTGCTCCCCACTGCCCCTGGGGAGGCAGAGCAGGACCCTCCTCTGGCTGCCAAAATCCATTCTTTCTGTGCAAGTGATCAGTCCAGAAACACTGAGCTGGTGGAAGAATAAAGGACCTTGATCTAATCTGCTAAACCAGCTTTGGACGAAATAAACACTATCGAGATGCACAAGGGGTTTATCTTGTATCTCAATCAGGAGCTCTCCAGAAGCAGTTTGGGACTGGAAAAGCTTCTCCAAATCCACAGAAACCTCTGTGGCATCCCTGCAGCCCCTGCTCCCCTGGGCACTGCAGAGCACCAGGACTCTGTGCTCTGCACAGCGACGCTGGCACAAGCGGCTGCTCCTGCAGGATGGGACAGACACGTCCAGGACAGTTTGGAGCACAAGTGACCTTAATGCAAAACGACAGCTCATCTTCAGGTCTATTCTGGGATCTGCCTGGATACCAGCGTGTAAACACGGTGGCAGGAAGCTCAGCTCCAGGGAGGATGTCTCCAACCAGCCTCACTCCCCCGTGGTTTATACTTAGCTGCGTCGGAAGCTCTGGTTGCTCGGTGGGGTGTGGGTGCTGAGAGCTGTGCTGTGTGTGGGAGCTGCCAGTGGGACACAGCCCCATCCCGGGGCTGGGGTGATGGTGTACAGCTCTGGAGAGGCAGCAGGGCAGGGGGGGTGGCAGAGAAGGTACTTCCAGAGCAGTTCCCCTCACCCAGACCCACCACTGATTCAGGTGCTTGAAGGGCACCAGCTACCTCCCCACCTGAGCAGCACTGCCAGCTGCTTATGGAGAGCCCTTGGTGCCAAAACCATCCTTAGATACACACAAACCAGTGCAAATGCCTCTATGGAACTTGGAATCAGCAAGAAAAATTTTTCTTTTTAGACTTTGAGCAGCCTCAAAGTCTAAGGTTCCGTGGTCCATGCTGCTCCCCTCTCCATGCTTCACAGCCACAAAGTACCCACAGGATGCTCAGCCCCAGGTCCTCACAGCACAGGGACCAACCCCAGCCCCAAAGCTTCATCCTAGTGCCAGAGGGTCCCTGGGACACCTGTCCCGTGGGCAGTGGTGGCAGACACACATGTGCTGCTCCAGAGGTGCCACAGCTAGAGAGTGTCAGGAGAACCTGATTGCTGAGATATCTCAGCCAGAGGGGCTTAGAGGAATTAGGGAGCTGCAAATGCCTGATAAAAGGATGCTGGAATAATCACAAAGGCCTCATTTTGCTGCTGTGCTCCTGAAAGAGCTAAAGCAGGAGTAGCTGTATCTCTGGGCTCCCATTACTGATGCCGATGGTATCGCAGCCGCACGGTGAGCACACGAGTCGTGGCTGAGGGATGGCAGCTGGATTGCTCCAGCTTGGGATTCACCAGCTGGAAGGGTTTGGGATCTGATTATAGCAGAAATGAATAAAGCTTATCCAGATTCTATTAATGGTGGTGTTCAGCCCCGTGTGATGGGCTCAGGAGGATTGACGGGTGTTGGGCTGGGCTAATCCTGCCCGGAGCTACTGCTGGTGTCTCAGCTGGGATTGATCCTGCACTCCACCCCCAGCACCCCAACTGGGACTGATCCCTCTCCCCCCCAGCTCCTCAGCCTCCACACACTGGCTGAACCCTTGGAATTCCCAATTCCCACCCTGTCAATGAAGGAGGGTTGGCAGGTGCTGCTGTTCACCTCAGTGGGAGGAACGGGATCATCAGGGGGATGAGTTCCTACAGGGCTGGTCGGGTCCTGGATAACAGAGTGGTGTTGAAGCCATGCCCTGGTGCACCTCATGCCATCAGGGAGCTGGTGAGTGGGAAGGGGCAGCAGCTCCTGCTCTCCTACCTCTTCCCGTGCCAACCTCCAGCATGTGCCGCACAGATTTCGCCCTCAGGGAGGAAAACAGAGGGTTTGGGTGGGAAGTGAGGATCTGAGGAAAAGCAGGTTGTGTCCATCAAAACACTTGGCTGCGATGGATTGGAAATGTTTTGGTTCAGTTTCAGATTTTTTGCCTGAAATCCTGAAGAGCAGAAAAACCTGAATCGAACCAGTCATTTTCCATACAGCCGGATGCAGCCTCGGTGTCTCCAAGCAGGAGATGTGAATCCCACGTTTTCCTGCAGTTACAATTTCAGCAAATTAAGTTTTTCCAATGAAAAAAAAATAAATTTTCCTCAAGAGCATCCTGCCAGTTCACCCTATAAGCAAATAAAGCCGTAGCAATCCGATCTGGGTGAGTCATCCCCGTGGGAGCGCCGGGAAGCGCAGCCGGAGCAGGGTCTGCCCGCAGCTCCGGGTGTTCCTGAGCCTCTCTCCCGGCAAAGGCGACTCTGTGCCCCTGGGAGAGGCAGGAAAGGGAAGCTGTGGATGGATTTCAGCCAGACATTCCCATTGCAGTCAGAGAAAATGCAAAGTAATTCTCCCATGTGGCACAAGGATGCAGGAGCAATGCCCATTCCCAGGTCCTGCCTGGCAGGGCTAACAGCCCAGGGGTGCCAGGAGCTCAAATATTCCAGTGCTCAGTCCTACACTCCAGGAAAACCTGGACTGTCCCACGGAGCAATTAATGGGAGATAAGTGAGAGGAAGAAAGATGCTCAGGCTTTGTTCAGGAGGAGACTGCAGCAGAGCTTGAA